CTCCCTCTCGTGCTGTCTCTCATTCTCTCTCTCACAAATAAATAAATAAAATCTTTAAAAAAAAATAAAAATAAAAATAAAAGAAAAATAATCTCTACACTCAACGTGGGGCTTGAACTTACAACGTTGAGATCAAGCATCGCATCCTCTACTGACTGAGCCAGCCAGGCACCCCTAAACGGATCATTTTCAAACACCCGTCATCTAATATTCTGTGATCTGAATGTGAATTCATGAAATATTTAAACATTCTTACAAACTAATATACTCCACGTTTTTCTTTTTCCCTTTTACTGAAGGAATCTGTTTTTAGTATGCCCTCACATAGTAGCCCTATAACATAACTGACTGATTATATTAATGGATCTTCTCTAGTCACTTTATATTCTAAATATAGCATTGGAAGTATGCCCAGGTAATGATGACAATAAGGAGATAAGCTGACAGCAGAACACAGTGCTGTTTTCATAGACCATTACTGAAAAACTAGGGACCATCTGTAATTGCGCACTGCAGGTAAGGGATGACAACAAAGTAATCCCGAACACCAAAATCAAAGGAAGGTTACCGTTTACCTCTGAGAACGGAATTAGAAAGAGTCACAATGTAATGAATGGGACCAGCCATCTGCAGAAATGATTCTGAGATGGACAGAATCCTCAAGAGGGAAGTGTGATTAAAGTATGATAGTAACTAAGAAATTTCAAGGAATGTTCATTTGCTCAGTTTGCTTCTTTATTATCACTGGGGATGTAGGAGTGAAGGACAGAGTTCTTGTCTATGAAAAAGAATCTGGCAGCACAGATCGGTAAGTGAAACAATTAACAAGAAAGAAAGCAGGATCCATTTCCGTTAGGATAAAGTGAACTGAAAACCAAGGATTTCTAATGTTTACCTAGTACTATCTAGGAGACAGAAAGAGGCCTGCTACTGGTAGACATAAGCATGGCAATTAGGAAAGCAGCAGACATTGCTGTACAACAGAGATTTTCATTGGGTTGTACCACATGATTGCGTATGTCCCTCTGCTCAGATCCATGCTTACCAAGTCACCATTCAATTGCTACATCTTCTTGATATAGGCAAGGGTATCCCCTAGAATGCAATACAACTGCATCCAGAAAACGAAAAGGTGTATTCCTCACCATAAACTCTTTCTGATTGCATCTGACCCTTGAGGGTTTGATTAGTATGAATCAGTCCTGCCAAATTAGCTCTGAGCGACTAGACAGACCACACTCTTATTTTCAAAGCTGAGGACTAGACCATGACATACAGTGCCCACATCAACCACTCCCATTTTAGGAAGTCCTATTATGTGGCCAAATGCTCTTATCTAGTCATATGCCCTTTCACAGTGTCTTCAAACTACCAAATAAAACATACTATCAAGTGTCTTGAGTAGAAAGCAGGGAAATAATGAAAAGTGACCAGATCATATTAGCAAAGAATATACTAATGCGCAACATATTGCTTACAGGCCAAACTCAACTTGGTCGTGCTCAGTAGACTACCAGCACATCAAATCAAAAACAAGAGCTGTGCTAAGTGGAGAATCTGGATAGAGGAAAGCTACTCTGCATGAAGAACCGTGTGAGAGAAGTTTCTATCGGCACTCATAGCCAAATGCCAATACTGAAAGAACAAAGAGCCCAGAAGAGAGCCTTAAGAGAGCTCCTGCACAGTCCCTCCACTTTAGTGACTCCTGGGACCTGATCATAGCCAACATGATGCTAACACAGAATATTAAAGTATGGGGGTGCCTGGGTGGCTCAGTCGGTTAAGCGACTGCCTTTGGCTCAGGTCATGATGGCAGGGTCCTGGGATCGAGCCCCACATTGGGCTCCCTGCTCAGCGGGGAGCCTGCTTCTCCCTCTCTCCTGCCTGCTGCTTCCCCTGTTTGTGCGCTGTCAAATAAATAAACAAAATCTTAAAAAAAAAAAAAAATTAATGTATGGAGCACAAATGAGTAAGTTTCTGAATTGCTAGAGTAACGCCTTAAACTTTCCATTCTGAGATTATGAATTACTTACCTTTGTTGAAGTGAAACAACCAGAAACCATGGCTTTTACAAAGAATTGCGTTGCTATTTCTAATGTTCATCCTTATAGTGCCTGGCAATTGTTGCCCGGGAATTTCGGGCATCATTTTTTGTCACTGATGTTAAAACCTTGGCAATGCAATGGTGATATCCTTTAGGAAATATTACAGGTTAACCGCCATAGATCATTTTTTCCTGGATCACCAGACTTAAACAGTTTGGATTATTTTCCACTAAATTTTCTTTACATTTGCCTACAAATTCATCTGCTTATAATAAATCAGGATTACAGCATAAGAAAGAACAAAAATCTTCTTCTTTAACTTCCCACCAGAACCACCTTGGATGATACTTAAAACCCAAGTTTTAACCTTTGCTATGCTGTAGCCCCCAACATTCATATCCAGCACCTGTGTGTGTGTTAAGGTGATTCCTCAGGAGGGTCACTGTTCTAAACGCCCTGCCACAGAGATGGCACTTGTGTGGTCTCTCATCAGTGTGACTTTTCATGTGACGATCCAAATTTGAACGCCGCGGACATGTGTAACTGCAAAGCTCACACTGGAATGTCTTCTTTACACCTATATGAAAAACAAAACACTTAACTTCTTGCAAGGTTTCAAAGTATTAAGTTTAATCCTAACGTTAAATATCTACAAATAAATTTCATTAGCCTTTTTAAACTAAATCCAATCTAAGTCATATTAAATCGTTATTATTTCATGCCACTAACAGATTTCTTTCTTTGTCTTCAGGACTTAAAAAATACTGAATTTGGAAAAACTTTTAGACTAGCTAAAAGGACTGGTACCTAGCTCATGATCTTAAAAAACAACAACAAAAAAAACACAAAAAAACCCATTTATTATAAAATAATTTGCATATACCCTGGGTTATTTGCTTTATCCCAAAATCAGTTTATGAGAATACAGTGGATAAACTCATTTTACCTTTCTTTTTAATTTTTGTTGGTTTTGGAGGCTTCATGTTACCAACCACTTTCTCTGCATTAACCTCCGATAGCAGACCCTCCTGCTGCTCTTCCTCAAAATCGTAGACAGACACATCCACATCTTTGCCCTCCTCTGTGTAACGCAGTTTGCTCTTTTTGGTTTTCTTTGTTTTTTTGGCTGGCGGCTGATAATCTGGGTCTTTTTGCCAACTAGGATCTTCTTGAGGCGGAAGTTCCCCTTGCTCTAGCGTCTCCACCTCTCCATTGGCCCCTACTTTCACCACTTGAAACCCTTCAGGCAAAGGTAAGGTGTGACATATCATGGGTTCACTTTCTGCAAGGCCCTCTTTAGACACTTCATTCTCATAAGCCCCCTGAAGTTCTTCTACCGAAGTAGTGGCAACAGGTACAGTCACGGGAACGGGTACTTGGACAAGCTGAAGCTCTCCTATGTTTATGGGCTGTTCCTCCATATTTACAACCTGCAAGGTTATGATCTGGGTATCGTCCACAGCAGCCTCTGCTTCTGGAGCGACTGTACCCTCCATTACTTCAGTCTTCATCTGAAGAAGGGTGGGATCCAGTTGTTCCATCATTACCATCTGTACACTGCTATTGACATCCTGGACCACCTCACCCCCATCAGTCTGGTTCTGGGGCAGGTGACAAGTGTCCTCTTCCTGGCCCCCTTCCCGGCGTCTCTGGTAAGTCTTTCTTTCCTTTCCTTTAATGAAAGTTTCAGACTCTTCCACAATGGCTTCAACCGCCTCACCTTCCATTTCCCCTTCCTTTATTAAGGGAGAACACAGATTGTTATTTATTCATTCATTCATTCATTCCACAGATGGTTATTTAAAATAAAGCTTGTCTAAATGAAAATACATACATTTTAAAAGAAAAATGAAAAATGAATTAGGAAATAAATGGTTAAAATTCAAAAAGGCACAACAGATATTATGTACCTCCTGATGGAGGAACAAACTACCACCTATGAAGCAGTTCAACAAAACAAAAAATCTGAAACTAATCAAGTCTCTAGAGCCAACCACTAATTAACAGGAAATTGGTGACAGAATATGTTTCTTTTTAAAAGATTATTGGGATGCCTGGGTGGCTCAGATGGTTAGGCATCTGCCTTCGGCTCAGGTCATGATCTCGGTGTCCTGGGATTGAGCCCCGCATCGGGCTCCCTGCTCAGCGGGAAGCCTGCTTCTCCCTCTCTCACTCCCCCTGCTTGTGTTCCCTCTCTTGCTGTATCTCTCTGTGTCAAATAAATAAATAAATAAATAAAATCTTAAAAAAAAAAAAAAGTCCTAAAGTTTTACCTCTACCATGGGTACCAGCAACAAAATCTCTCTCTACACGGTATGAACAAGCTTAACACATGACACAGGAAAAAAGTAAAAAGAAGAAAAATGGATATACATAACAAGAGTGAACTGGTTTTGCAATGTGTCTCAGTGACCATGTGGCCAATGCCTGAGTATCTCTATAACCCGGTACTCACTCATGAAGGCTACCTGGTGGAACCAAGACCATTTTTATTTGGTAAATGGGGTCTCCTATAAGGTCAGTGTTAAATCAGAAGCCAACAGCTTAAATCCAACAATGTACCCATACTAAAAGTATAATAATGATAATAAATGGCAATATGAGGTCTCTGAACAAAGATCAAGTAATAGTTATATTGAAAAAAAGAAGTAAGATATTCTTAGTGAGTCAATAGTGTAGTAGCATGAAGTATGGATAATAGCTAAAGTGCTACTCAATAGAACAGAAGAAATCTGAAAAACAGAAAAAGGATATACATGTATAGGACCAGTGATACAGAAGTTTAAACAATGGAAGAAACTTTAAACTAATATTAGTTTATGAAAACAAGTAATTTGTCAATTTGGTTACTCCTTAAAAATATGGGAACAAATACAGGAAAGGAGATAAAGGCAAGAGCTTAACCAAGAGATGGGGGTGGGGAGGCGGGGGGAGGAATTATGTATTTATAAATACCCAAAAGACATGACAAGGAGAGAAAGAGCAAAGACCTTGTCTGACAAGGGGCCAGAAAGGAAAAAAATATATAAGATAATATATTATTTTATAGTCTCAACATATATTCACAACAAAAAATTTTAAGTAGGAGTAGAAAGTTAAAGATACAAATAAAAGAGAGACACGAGAAATAGTGAAAGTCATTAGGGTACCCTCTATTATTATAGAATAGTTACATACATACCTCTGTGAATGTAAAATATTTTGTACCTGCTCTATGATACATGATCATGACCACGCCATGCCAGAATTGTTATACCAGAGTTCATAAAGAAATAAAAGTAGTGGGCTGAAATAATTTTTAACTTTCAATGGTCCAACTCGACAATACTCAAATAGGTGCTAACCAACACTGACCTCCAACGATGGTTTGTTCTTATCACAGAGAAACTACGGAAGGATTCTGAAGAAGTCCTGAGTTATAAGGAAAGAAGTAAAGAAGCTCAAATCCGAGCAGTGCTAGTACTGGATACCAAGCTTTAATATTAGTGACAGTCAGGGTCTAATAGTGCATTGTACACATGGACAACCTTTAAAGTTGGTGACAATGTTAAAAAAAATTCTGACACATACTAAAAACCTAACTTGTGCCAGCGCACAGGCATAATATACTCAAGAGCAGTAACAATGTACAGTCTTCACACTGGTTTTTCTACAGATATACACGGATTTATAATTCTGTCAAAAGAGATCTAAAAAACTGAATATCTAATAATTAGCTACAGAACCAAATGCAGTAGGATATTCTGTGAAACCCAGAGACTATTCAGAAACAGTATGGGGAAGAATAAAAAAACGTAGAAGCACCTGTCCTACATCTATAATCTCAGGAAAATCACTTTGCCTCTTAGGTTTCTTTTCTGTCAAATGAAGAGACTGTCAGATGACTTAAAATTTCATCTGGGTTTAACATCCTACACTTTTTTTTAGGTTATCAGTTAGATTCATCCTTGTAGGTAAGAAGGGGAACGAGTACAAGTACCCTTACTTCCCAGCTAAAAAAGTCAGACAAGAAATTTTAAGAAGTGCATACAACAAAGTTGTACAAAAGGATGGAGCAAAAGGTAGTTACCTAGCTTCGCAGTCCACTTGTCTGTAACCAAGAATCAGGAAGAAGTCTCTAAAATCTATTTAGATGAAGATGACTAATGCACACCACTCTACTAAGTGGCATTTACATCTGAAGTCCGGGAAATTTTTTGGGGGGGGGGGAGGGGCAGAGGGAAAGGAAATGAGAGAATCTTAAGTAGGTAGTACCACGCTCAGCAAGAGGCCCCATGCAGGGCTCGATCTCAGGACCCTGAGATCATGACCTGAGCCAAAATCAAGAGTCAGATGCTTAACTGACTGAGCCACCCAGGTACCCTTCAAGTCCAGGAAATTTAATGAGGAATCTTTGTGTCAGGCAAAAACACACAAACATTAGATATAATCTACAAGACTGGCTCTTTCCTCCCTCCATTAGGACATATTTTAAGCTAGAAAGGCTGCTCAAAGTCAAGGTATAATCACTATTTGTATACCCGCCCCCCCACTCTCCCTGCACACAGAACATCAAGACATCTGCTCTTCAAAAGCCCCTACCAATCCAGGACATTTTAGGACTCTATCTGCCACCTTTCTTGTTGGGGAGGCATCTACCCTCCTTCAAAATAAGAAATAGGGGATTTAATTTTAGGGTGAAAAATGCTTAAAGCCATAGCTATATACTTGATACGATAACTGACTTAACCATTAGCTAAGATGCACATTTATCTGAAAGTCAATCAGTAAAATATCTACTACTGAGAACAGTCAAGAACAGAATCAAAAAAGGACTCTGAACAGTTATGACATCTCAAAATCTATGCACTCAAATGTACAATTAACTTGGCTCTTAACTCAAAGTCCATTTACTCTTGTATTAAAAATAATTCAAACAATGGGGAAGAGAAGAGATGAAGTATTAGAGGCAAGAAGCTAGAGCCAAAACCAAGAGACTTATCCCCAAAGGAACAGATTAGAAAACTTAACAATGAGCAATAAGGAAGTACATTCCTAGTAATTTGAAATAACATAGGGTATCTAATGGGGAAAATGTTCATTAACATATAACATGAAGAAAGATTACAAAAGAGGATGCAAGACAGGATTCCAACTTAATTTAACAAAATGAAACAAATAAAACTATACAAATAGCATTTTTGGTGAGATCCCCTACCTTAAGTCAGGCAGGTATTACATCTCTCCTGGACCGATGCAATGGCCTCTCAACTAGTTTTCCTGCTTCCCCTCTTGCTTCCTTACCACCATTTTTCACACAGTGGACAAAGATTTCTAAGATGGAAATTTATTATCAGCAAGGAGACTTCAATTCTGAAACCTCCCCTGTGAAAACTTGTAAGCTTAAGCCTACACTCTTTCACCTGGACTACAGGGTCCTCTAAGGTCCTATCAGCAGAGCTGCATCCAGCCCCATACACTTTCATAACTGCTTTCAGTGGCCAGAACTTTCTAGGCTTCTCTCCTCCTGCCTCTGGGCCTTTGTGCATGCCATTCCCTCTTCTGGGAATATACAAGCAATTAAACTTCTATGAAGTCATCCTATAAATACACTAGTGCAAGTACCCAAAGAGATATATGCAAGGATATCTACTAGCACATCTTTCCCTAACAGCAAGACTGAAAACAACTCAAATGTCCAGAGCTATGTATATAGTATGCTACCATCTGTGTTTTCTTAAAAGGATACACAAAACACATATGTTTATGAATGCACAGAATTTTCTCTGGAAGGATATATGAAAAATTAGTATTTATTACCTCTCAGGAAGAAAACTGAGGGATCAGAGGTGGGAAGAAGTTATTACTTTCCACTACACATTTTGTACTGTTTGAAATATTCCCATGTTTTTATTTAATGTAGTAGTTATAAAATACTTATATAGCACAATTACATTTTGTCTTTGAAACTGTATTATATGGGGGCGCCTGGGTGGTTCAGTCGGTTAAGTGTCTGACTCTTGATTTCAGCTCAGGTCATGATCTCAGAGTTGTGAGACTGAGCCCTCCATCGGGCTCTGTGCTGGGTATGAAGCCTGCTTAAGATTCTCTCTCCCGGGCGCCTGGGTGGCTCAGTTGGTTGAGCAACTGCCTTCAGCTCAGGTCATGATCCTGGAGTCCCGGGATTGAGTCCCGCATCAGGCTCCCTGCTCAGCAGGGAGTCTGCTTCTCCCTCTGACCCTCCCCCCTCTCATGTGCTCTCTCTCTCCTCTCATCCTCGCTCTCAAATAAATAAAATCTTAAAAAAAAAAAAAAAGATTCTCTCTCCCTCCTCCTCACCTTCTCTAAAAACAAAAACAAAAACAAAACAAAACACCAAACTGTATTATAATGTACATGCCCATTTACAGAAGTGCAGGGAAAAAACCCAAAGGGGAACACACCAAACTGTTAATAGTGTTTATCTCTGTGGAAAGAAAACTAAAAAGAGTTCTTTAGATTTTAGTATAGTTCCACAACTATTAGACTCTTCCAAAGAATGAAACTAAACATTATTCAGATGATACAAAAAAAGTTTAAGACCAAATATAAGTGAGGAGAGTTCTAAGAATTGCCTCTGCAACCTCAATTCCTCCTAACACTTGGGCAGATACATGGCTGCCCGGCCCCTCCCTCCTGCCTGCACTTCTGCAACAGTGTTCTGGCAAGGTTTTGAATCCACTCAGGAAGTCTAGACTTTACTGCCAGAATAAACTAGACAAAAATTCCTTTTATTATTTCATTATATTTATCAGAAAGCTTCAGTACTATTTCCTACTGTATTGGATTCCTTTTCCCTTTAAAAATTATATAATACACGGGACGCCTGGGTGGCTCAGTC